TTTCTGCTGAAACTGATTTTGGGAGTCAGTTAGGTAAAGTGAAGTTATGTTAGTTACAAATATCTTTCAATTAACATAACCTGACCTAAACTAACTTTACCTAACCGCCTCTTAAAATCAGTTTCAGCAGAATGCGGAAAAATGAAATTCACAGTTTCTGGTAGGTGCACAGAAAGTAGGTACTGAGATAACAGGAAAGTACCCTTTTTCTAATCTGGGAATTGTCTGACTTGAATTAATAAAGAGTTTTGTTGGATTTAAAATTATTTATATGCCAGGTTAGGTGTTGGGTTATAAATTTAGAATAAGCATTGACTTTCTTATTGAACCACCATTTTGTTTGCGCCTGCCGGGAATGATCAGTGAGTTCCTTGTGGAGAGGAAACTATTTTGTCCATAGCACATGATTTTCATCTCTGTCATGTAGATGTCACTCATGTGATGTTGCGCTTAATCCAAGCTAGATAAAGATAATTGATACAGTATATTAAGTTCAATTTTGTATTTTTAAAATAATTCTGAGAGGGGCATGAAGTGGGTTTTTAGACATTTCCTCACATTTGGTTCCCTTTTTCAATTAAAAGAAGTCTTCTGAATTTAAAGAAATTTCTTTGAGGTTGTTGCTGTGTGGATCATGTTGGATCTTAGTTTTGCTATAGGTTTGATCAAGACTTCATGTGTCATTTTGATATTCCTATAGTTTGAGATTGATCTTTGCTGCATTTTATTAGTATTTATATCTTATAATGCTTAGAAATGCGAAAAATAGGACAAGAGCGACAGTCTTATGAATTAAAATCAGAATGCAACTTTTTCAGTATTTCTTTTTTCAAGTTCCATCTGTCCAAATTTTTCAGTGGGATTTTTTTTGGTTTGGCATGAATAATCATGAAATGAAATCAGAGTTGTGGCAGCTAAAATTTTCATTCACAAATTTTATCTTGCAAAGCGTCTCATGAAAACCGGCTTTTCAACTGTTGTGTTTTTTTACTTAGCTGTTTTACTAGATTTTGTGTTTGATGCTTTCGATACCGGAAGTTACTTCATGTAGTAGAATGATCATCAACTGGGATTCTCAAAAATTTCACTCGAAATTAATGCAAAATTCCTTACAAATTATATTTGACTGTGCCGACAGTTTACAAAAAGCATTGCATGACGCAATAAAAATTCAAGAACGAAATTCGATGATTGTTTATCATAAAAAAATCAATTCAGGCTTCGAAAAATCATGCAGTAATAATGCATATGAACTTTAAAAAATAAGATTGCATACTTGAATGACGCTTCAAATATTAAGAATCCCTGATTTTTTCGTGGTGAAATTTTGCAATTTTCAACATAATATGAAAATTCAAGAATATTTTGTTGGCACGTAAAAATGAATTTCTTTGCAATTCCCACGATGATGTTTGGTCAAATGTGATGATTCAAGTTATTGCTTTCAAATTGGCTTATGTTATATTTAATATTTATTGTGCTCTGCTAATTTTGTAATTTGAAATTGAAAACGTTTGGGAAAATCCCAGGTCCAAGTTTCAAACGTGAGAGGTAAAAAATTAAGCCTCAGTGAGACTTTACTAATGTTTAGCACAGTACTGTTGGACCTTTAAACTTGACAAGTTGAAAAATGTGAAGGACGGTACGCAAAATATTTTGCGATGCAAAATACCTTCTCTTAATGGATCTTGGCAGACGTTAAATGAATTCTTTCTTCTTCTTCTTCTTCTTGAATCATTAAACGCAACACTTTTGACAGCTATATAGTAGTAAAAATACCCCTCACTTTATTTTAGTTTATCTTTTACACATTGACGTTATCGTATTGGTTTTTAATTTTATTTCACCAGAATAGAACAGAAGACTTAATTGCTTATGTCAATAAAAGTTTGCCACTGATTGTCTCCTGGAATCTAAGGTATTTTTT